CATGTAACAATTGCATTTGCAGCATGTGGTTGAGAAGGAAGAACCCCTTTGACATAGGGAAAAACGAAAGCCCATTTGTCACATACAAGCAATGACTCTCCACTGTCTGCAGTCGACATCCTTAAACAGCCAGTACACAGCCCCAGCCTTGCTGAGAAAGATTCGTCGCCTACTCTGGAAATTTCGTGCGTCGGGCCTACCGGACCACAATGGCAAGTGGCGCCAGCCAAAAGACAAAAAAATCCACCGCTGGCGGTTTGGCAAAGTTTGGCGTGCAGTGGAGCGCCTCCAGGCCCGGGTGTACTGGTGATTTAAGATTGCAATGATAGAGAGAAGATTAGCATCACCCCTGTCAGCAGAAAGGTGAGTGGAGGAAGCAATAAGACTGACAATGAAAGCTATCACAATCCATAGTATAGAAGAGTGCATATGAGCCCTAAGGAGCGAGGACATAAAATCTGTAATTGTAGATCTTGATTGAATGACGTATTGGAGACATGCAGAAAAGGAAAGTAAGGCGAAGACGGGTTAGAGAGACCCGGAAGGCAAGGAGGAGGGAGCACCGCCGCTACATCTCCCCATGGAACAGAAATTGGTTGCCGTTGCAGACTGGCTGATGGCCAATCTGAAAGCAAAACACGGCCCCTTTACTGATGACTTCTGGGATAGGACATACCTGGAACTATTCCCGATGTTGGATACGAGCCCATCACTCAAAAATGTGTTGGAGAGGGGGCTGCAATCGGGGGTGAAGTGGACCGAAGCATGGCACAGACTGGCCACAATCTTATCTGCACATTTTCAGACACCACAGGCTGCAGCTATGAAGGAAGCCAATCAGGATGGACCCCAAGTGGTGATAGAGGAGAAGGCACAGGGAAGGCCCAAGACCCCCCGGTTAGGCAGCAATCAGCCCCGCCGCCGGGCCCGGACCCCCCGGACCCGGACGAGAACGCACCACTGGATCTGGTGTGAAGAAGGAAGCTGAGGCAGCTTAGTCGAGATGGGCTGTGATACCGCCCCTCTGTCGCAGGCGGTCGTGTTATTCATTCCCGTTCGGAAGAAAAATGGGAAATGGGAAGTGGGTCTGTCACCGGCAGAGAATGGGAGACAAGGGGGTGTCACGTTACAAGGCTGGTCATCGTTTTCGGCGAATCCACAAAACAGCTCGTCTGAGGCAGCGGCAGGAATTCTGCAAAATGCAGCTCGAATCCCATATTGCAGAAACCTTACTGCCAGGGGCACAAGCTACAACTTTGATTACAACAGGCCTCAGCAAGATCGCGCAGAGGGATGTATACATACGTTTTGACCCAACCACACAAACTAGCCTGAGATGGCACACCCACGGCCAGCTGCTGAACCTGCAAACGGTCAAGATCAGGCACAGTCACACCTGGATTGAGCACGATGTTCAGAGTAGCCTATGCGCACTTCTCAGGAGGGCAGGTACTGCAGACTGGGAATGGGAACAATTGTCGTGGATCCGTCTGTGACCATAATACGACTGCAAAACTAGCAGATGGACCCGGTCAAAGCAGTGTACGAGAAAGACCGCATCTGGAACCAATGCAGGAGAGTGGCCGATCTGGACTTGCGGTCACTAAATGTGAATGGCCTGGCCTCGTGCAAACCTGATCAACACAATGCAATATGGGATTTAATGAGAGGGGTGGGGGAAAGAAATGGGCCAGATATAGTGTGCGTACAGGAAACGCACCTGATGGACACCCCAGAGCACAACCGCATTCACAAAATGGTCTGGCCATACAAGGCCTTTAGGACCCATGCCCCAAAACCAGGGAGTGCAAGGGTGGCCATTTGGATCCCCCTTGAATCTCGGGCGGATCCAGTGCAGTGGGTAGTCGGCCAGGAGGGAGGTCGATGGGCGTCAATCCTGGTCATGTTGGAACTCAAAATTATATGTATATTATGCATCTACGCCCCCAGTACTGTCAGTGAACGGAGAACCTTCTTCGAGAATATCAAAGCGCAAATCCCGGACGGGGTCCCGGTCATTATAGTAGGGGATTGCAACGCAGCTCCTGACCGGTGGATGGATAGATGGCAGACTCCCTCCCCCACTCCGCGGTATGTGGAAGAAGATGAGTGAATAATCAATGATTTATGTGTATCACTGAAAGTATTCGACACATTTCGGAGGCTAAACCCGGATAGAAAATTTTACTCATGCCTACGAAAGACTGGAACAAACAACCAGACGAGATCCAAAATTGACTTAATCTTGACCTCGAACGACTTGGAAGGATCTCTGCTTCTCGCAGCGATCCTACCAGCCAGCCCCTACATGGGCCTGGATCACAAAATGTGCATGGTCATCTTATCCTTCCGAAAGAAACCGGACCGTGGTCCTGGCTTCTACAAACTTAATACCTCCATCCTACAACAGCAAACCTTTTAGAAATACATTATCGACTGCTGGGCGTTTTGACATACACGAAAACAACACATTCAACAGGAAATAGATTGATTTAATGATGGCCTGTTCTATTTGGGTAGAAAATGCCAAGCATATTCCAAACTTTTAGCAGCCAGGAAACATTAGCAAGAAATGGAAATTGACCAACAACTGCAACAACTCGAACACCAAGACCATCCCGATAGTTCACATAGTTCAGCAAAACAAACACTGGAGCAACAACTCCAGACCTTTGCCACACAACGCTAGGAGGGAACACGTATTAGAGGACGACTAGCACGACATCAAACAGAAGGAACCATGGACAATTTTTTTTTTAGCATGACCCGTGTACATACTCTAGGGGGTATTGTATGTTGCTGAGGGAGCAGGAGTGATTTAGGGGGTTGTTCTGAACTGGGGCTGGGAGGTGAGGGGGCACCTTCCAGTGGAGGTAGTGAAAGGGCAGGTGGTCGTTTTTTTTTTTGGGGGGGGGGGTAAGACGATTGGTTTCTTGTGAACCCTTTACATCCAGCAGAGACGTGAATAGGTGCAGGAATCTCCATGGGGAGATAAGTAGTTTCCTTCCGTCCTCTCTTCTTGTGGGAATAAAAGGGTTGAATCAGATTGCCTTATATGGCTATGATTCCTGCACGTTATCTGAGTCTCCTTATCTTTTGATTTTTGAGGTTCTAACCAAAAAAAATAAATATAAATGGGAAGGTGAAAGTTGGAAGTACGGTTTGGAGGGAATTTTGGGTGGGCGTGTGCAGCAGAGGAAGGGTTGCTTAGGGTGGTAAGTTTACTAGAACGGCGGGGTGGGGCGACATTGGTCGGTGTTGGAGCAGTGGCTCTGTGACCAAGAGGAGCTTCATGCCAGTGGAGTTATGCGGGGTGGAAGGCATAACCACCTCTTTCAACGTAGCTGATGCCGGGGCGGTGACCCTGTAACCCGGTAGGGGTTTGCAGCTAAGAAAGTTGTCGAGGGAGGAAGATACTTGTTGTCCGTCAAAAAACAGTTAGTTCGGTGCTGGGGCAGTTTGTGTTGCCTTGTAACCCTAGCAAGGGGCGTGTGAGAACTGGCGATTTCTGGTACGAGGACTGAAAGCCTGAGCGACGGTTTCTCGTCTGTAGCGAGGGTCTGAGTTGGATTGTTGGTGGCTCTATTTCTGATTTTCGTCTCTCTGTTTTTCATAGCCTTTGAATTCTCAATATCTTCTTGAATGGGATTGAATTTTCTGATTAAAAAATTCTTTATAAGTTTGCCCTGGTGGCTGGGGGTCGTGGTTGCGATGGTGGGGGATAAGGCGCTCTACGGCCATGGGGTTAACCTGCAGGGTGGAAATAGGGTACAGCAGCGGTGAAGATGGTGGC